AGCTGCACTTTAATGAAGAGCTGACAAAAGACCCCAAAAAACAAAATCTGTTTCATGCTTCTACAGATCTGTGTCGGTGTGTTTCAGTTATTTAACGGTAAACTACCATTACTCAGAAAATAAACAACACACAAATTTAAACCAGAATTAGTTTGCACTAAGCTGCCGAAGGTATTTCACTAGCTAGGACCAGCCAGGCCTCTGTACATATCAGGAGGTTTGATTGTTCTGTTGTTTAGCTAATACTACTTCCACCCATCCCCAGCTGAGCGGAGGTGAGAAGGTAAACTGGGTGTGAGCTTCTCTCTGTAGCCGTTTTCATTCTTGACCCAGTTTGTCTCTTTTCACATGAGCACCAAGTTCAACGCTGTGACTGACAGATATCAGAAAATAACTCCATTAGCACCATATCTAAACAGTATCGCGTTTTGTCCTCTCTCAGAACAACTGTAAAACACAATGATTTCCAATGTGGTTCGACATGACATCATATGAACTACATCTGTTCAACTGTTATCCTAACTCTGAGTGTCCTGGATTAAAAACGGATCCGGTCCAGTTTCATAAGACCTTTTTAATTACATGAAATAGCTGTCCTCATAGTCTGTGGTAACTAAACACTATGTTTACAAGGCTGTGCGCTTGGGTGGCTTCCAACATAGCAGGCTTTAAAAATATGGCTGCAACCTATGTTATTTAATTGATTGAATAGTGGGCTAGTTGCCTCATCAATTCAGCACCAGGGAATTACAGAAATTCCCATCACATTCTCCCAGAACTCAAAGCTGACTTCAGGTAACAGTAGTATTTGGTTTGGACAGTTCAGCAGCCCAAAATATTAAATTCACAGTGATATCAAACAGATCATTGATCTTCACGACAAGAAGCCAAGACAAGTGTTTGGTATTTTTGCTTAAAAAAATCATAAGAAGTATTACAGATTACTTGACTGACAGACAAAAATGGTTAAAGTCTTGTTTCGGCTCAATTTTAAGATACAGGCTTAGTAACAGGTAAAATCTGATTTTACTGGACTTGACTGCTGGGTTGTGTGAAAAGTTGGTTATGCCAGCTGACAAAATAAGGCAGACGACTGGGCGTGAAGCTCAACAGCAGGTTTGCTGAACATTGTTTTGAAGTTATGCAGGCAGGTCAGAGTGTCAGAGGAAACCCTGTAGAAGGACAGAGTGCCGGCCGGCCAGTCCACATAAACCCCCACCCAACTGGAGCGCCATCCATGTGAAGACACAACAACTTTCTCACTGTTGTGCTGAACACAATAACCACGTCCTGTCCCGCTGTCACTGGGGTTATCAGGCAATGTGCAAAAAGTTAGTGTTAAAAACGTGAACTAAACAAAATGAACATCATCCCAGACTCTTTGTGTCAGTGTACGACTGTCACACTACAGGCTGCTTCACCTTTGGACGTGACAGTCACTGTTCAAACAACCTGTGTTTGATGGAAAATGTACATTTGTTACTTTTTAATGTCTTTTTGTTTGGCTGATTTATTTTTATCTTCAAATGCTGTTGTGGTCCACTACTACTGACTGGATGTACTGTTTGTGTTGTGTGTACACAAACGCTTCTATTGTCTCCACGTAGGTGAAAGAAAACACTCGCATGGATTCACAGAGATAATCCTTCTTCTGACTGTACCAATACTAGTTCAACTTCTAACAGTTCTGCCGGCTGTCATAAAAGTGTTCAATACAAAGCCACCGCCGACAGGTATTGTTTCTAACTTTGACTTTAAATGTGTCAGTCCTTTATCTGCACTTACTGAGGTCTCATTTCAATCATACAGATCAAAACCAAGATGGATGTTCTGGCACCGAGTCCTCGTCTGTTTAACAAGGATCAGAACGTAACCCATCCCTTCCTGACGTCCAACATCCTGATCGCTCCAGTTGTGAAATTATGGGACGACTCATCCTGCCTCACGTCTTCTAACCTGGATCTAAACGGCTAAAACTAACCAATATAAATAAGATAAAACTGACCCAGGTGTTTGGATCATCTCCACAGTCACAGCCTTCAGAGGCTGTGTGGAGTTTCAGGAGACACTATAGTTAACTTGTCTCCTCTTGAGATGCATCAGTTTTCCCTCCTCCCATTTCTTCTAGTGGAACTGGAAACTTGCTAACAATCGGTGTAACTACCAAAGTGAACCACTTCATGCTTGATATTCACTTCCTTTTCAGGTCCACATGACCTTTTACCATTCAGTGTTTCAGGCTCCTGCAAAATAATCCAACATCAGTAGATTAACTAGAACCAAACACTAAATAAAAACAAATAACTTATTTATTCAGATGATCTGAAACAAGCTTCAAATCTCTACAAGTTTATTTTCAGAAGAACCAAAGTTTTCTTAACACCCTGTACTTGACATGCAGCGTTTCCACTGACCTTATACGCTTTGCAGCAAACTACAGCCGTGCACGTGTTTGCACACCTTTGACAGTATTTCTCTTTCTCCAGGCAGCTGCGTGAAACTTCAGGTATCGTGTCACACAGCATTAAGCAATCATGTTATTTGTCGTACATCTTGGGTCCTGATCAAACCCGATTCCCCAATGAGGACGTTTTCTCAGAACAGGTCATGTGACCTGGATCAATACAAGAAGAAACAATGTGATAAATGACAGGATAGGAGGGCTTCTTAAAGACAAACTAACAGGTCTGTGAGAGCCAGAATTCTAGCTGGTTGGTAGGTTATCAAATACTTATTTCGTGCAATAAAATGGAAATAAATTATTTAAAAATCTAACAATGTGATTTACTGGAATTTTTTTGTAGATTCTGTCTCTCACAGTTGAGGTGTACCTACGATGAAAACTACAGAACTGTCCATTCTCTGTAAGTGGGAAAACTTGAAAAATCAGCAGTGTATCAAATCCTTATTTGCCCCACTGTATTAACCATTACTGTATCTAAAAAGAACCTTAACCTTAACCTGAACCAGGTTATTTAAAACAACTGGGTCTGCGCTAAATTTTTCACAGCCTGTCTGCCTGGAAGCCTCTGTTGAGCAGTGTGATAACTTCTTACAGTTTTCTATCGAGAAGGTTGCTGCTGCGAGGGCTTTGGGTGCAGCCCCTGCCTCTGACCCCTTGGAATTTGTTCCTTGTGTGGCTGTTTTTGATGTATTTGAGCCTGTAACTTTAGCCTTTTTGGAGGAAATGATTAGTCAGATTAAATCATCTGACTCTCCGCAGGATGCTATTCCCCCGCGATTTTTTAAAGAGGTCTTTCCCTGTATAGGAAAGCTGGTCTTGGCTATTATTAATAGTAGTCTGTCTTCTGGTGTTGTCCCTGCATGCTATAAACATGCAGTAGTGCAACCTCTACTTAAGAAACCAGGTCTAGACCTTTTGGTATTGACCAATTTTAGGCCAATCTCTAAGCTCCCCTTTATTTCTAAAATATTAGAAAGAGTGGTTTATATTCAGTTGAAGTCCTTTGTAGATGAGCACAATGTCCTGGAGGTCTTCCAATCTGGTTTTAAAACTTTACATAGTACAGAGTCTGCCTTATTAAAGGTTTTCAGTGATATATTTTTGGTAACTGATGCAGATGATTATGTGATCTTTGTCCTGCTGGATCTGACTGCGGCCTTTGATGCAGTTGATCACAGTATTTTAATATCCCAGCTTAAAGATATGGTGGGCATTAGGGGCACTGCCCTGGAATGGTTTAAGTCTTACTTGTCTGGCAGGTCCATGTGTGTAGGCATTGTTGACGTTGAATCTTCGTCATTCTCACTATCTTTTGGGGTTCTGCAGGGATCAATTCTGGGGCCTTTGCTGTTCTCACTTTATTTACTACCTCTTGGTTCCATCCTGAGAAAGCATGGTGCCCTTTTTCATTGCTATGCTGATGATATTCAGGTTTATATGCCGCTAAAGAGGAAGGATAACTTTTCAATTAAACCATTATTGGTGTGTCTTGATGACGTCAAGGACTGATTGACCCTAAGTTTGTTAAAACTTAATGAGACAAAGACTGAAGTAACAGTGTTTGGCCCAAATAGGTCTGGTGACCCACCTTCAGTTGACTTAGGTCACCTGGTGCGGTATGAGAAACAGACGATCTTGAATTTGGGTGTAAAAATTGACTCTGGTTTGAAATTTGATCGCCAAATTAATGCGGTTGTGAAGTCTAGTTTTTTCCACCTTAGGCAGATAGGGAAGGTAAAGCCTTTTCTTGCACACCAGCATTTTGAGACAGTAATCCATGCATTTATTCCATCACGTTTGGATTACTGTAACGCACTGTATGTTGGAGTCAGCCAGTTGTCACTTGCTCGTCTCCAATTGGTTCAGAATGCGGCTGCCCGTCTATTGGTTGGAGTGCGTAAAAGGGAGCATATA